ATTAAAAGGGGTGCCACATTATAGGTTCAACCTTGGGGCTTAGGGTTCTCACATCCTCCCACACAGAACGCCCTAAGGGCCCCGAACCCAGTAATCATATACTGTAGTTCCCCAATAGTCGTCATCGTTACGTAGGCTTTGGGGAGCAGACGTTAAATTTCTACTTGGGACATTTAGGGAAAGGAAGTCTTTTGCTCCCTGTGGCTTAACTATGAAAATAAACTGGAAGCATTTCTGGCTGTATAGGGGTTAAACGTGGGATTTGGGGGATTTTGGTGGACTATATGAGGTTATGTGCGGATTAGTCCCCCTCAAGTAGATAGAATATGGCTTTGGGTATATTATACGAAAATCCACATATGTCCCATATTCTTTCTACTTGAGGGGGACTATACCATCATGGTGTGTTTTTGACCCTTAATCAGCGCAAGTCAACCCTGTACTCTGAAGCCCGAATCCACAAACTCCCTAAACAAACCAGCAAACAGTACTCCCTGAACTCCACAATCTTGGGTACTGCAGTCTGTAATAGGAATAATCTTCAGGGCTGTGTAGATTCCTAAATATGAAACTATTACATACCATGGTATACCCAACTGTTACTGGCTGGCGGCACTCCCCCGACACTACCGTGACCCCAATCAACCCAAAACATATTCCGACTGTCCATTATTCTGTATACTTTGGGTGGAGGTTGCCCCTTTAAATGCCACAACCCCCTAAACCCTGAAACCCAAACCCTGAACCCCAAAAAGCCTGAAATCGAAATACTAAACCCCTCCTGCACCGCGTCTTCCAGTGCCAGGACCTCTGAAGATTCCGACTCGGAAGTGCTCTCACCAACCTCGCGAATGCTAGGGTTGCGGGGTTAGGGTTCAGTGTTTAGGGTCCGAGGAGATGTCCAGCGTTTAGGGCTCAGAGTTTGAGGTTGAGGCTTGGGGTTGAGGGGATTAAGGGCTTCGAGCTTGAGGGTTTTGGCTTAGGGTTGAGGGTTCAGGCCTGGACCTCCTATATAAGTAGGTACAAAAAGAGGCCCCCGAATCCCCCAATTAGGCCAAAAAAACTGTTGCTGTACACTTCACACTCTTGTGACGGTCCTGGTAGTAACTTGATTAACCAAAAACCGAAACCCTAAGGTAGCAGATTCCTCGCAGCCTCCGCCTCTTCCATAACCATCTCCATTGCATCTTCTTCCGAGATGTCGCTCTCGGAGCATTTTCCCTCAGGGTCGAAAGGCACATTGGTTGGGGAAGCCAGTGTTTGGAGGTCACCTAAACCCCAAAAGTATGTAAAATACTAGCCCTAAACCCATAATAACAGCCATAAGGGCCATTATTCTACATACTTTTGGGGTCCAGGCAGGGTTTAAAGCTAATGTTTCTCAGGATTTGGGGGGTCTAGACGAAGACTTCGACTTCAATGAACCTAGACACTCCATCCTCTCTGATTATATACTCTGAATACCCACCCCTAGGGACCACATATCCCCTATGTTGGGGTACAGGGAGGGTCCTAGAATGTCCTGAAACGGGACTGCGGGATACAAGTTCGAGAGCAGCAGTGGTCTTTCTGGAAAAGCTGACGCAGAAATCCCAAGGCTGAAGCTATCTGGGTTGCTGTTCAGGAACGTAAATCAAGTTACCATAGTAAGGAAAAAAGTAAATACTTGGGTTTCCTGATTAGAGGGACCTAACTCAAGTTCCTTTACAGCAAGCCAGTCATAGCCCGGAAGTCTTAACCTTAAAGCCTGGATCCCACATACCCTAAACCCTAAACCCTAAACCCTAAACCCTAACCTCTAAACCCCAAACCTTAACAACTAAACCCCAGGCCTTAAAAACTAAATTCCCAACCCTCAACCCTGAACCTGAAAAGCTCTTAACTCCACTCATCCCTAATCACCTAGATCTCATGCACATGTATAAGTTCTACACCAGTTTTTCCCCAGCTCCTCAAATAGTTCTGCTTCAGCCCTGAACCCTAAACCCTGAACCCTGCTAGGAATCGTACCATCGCCAAGCCTCAAGAAACATGTCAGCAGCAAGAAGCACTCTCCCACCACTCTAAAATTCGTTTACCCCAGACAGTAAGGCCCCAACCCGAACGCTTGACCCCAAAACTCTATAGGCCTTCAACATCAAGCCCTTCGCTCGACCTCAAGCCTTGAACTCAGATACGTATAAACTTAGTCCTATCAAGCTGCAAACGCAAAACTCCTGCACTTCTCCCTTACAGGGATAATAGTCCCCACACCTATTTGCCCAGGCACTGCCCACAACCCAAGACCGAAATCCTAAACATCAGATGGAAAAGCTCGAAATTGCCAAAATGCTTGGGATGTGTCGTTTGCAAATACTGAGACACAATACGAATTCACGTTTCTTACTAGCTCCCAGTGAGTGAGAAGTCGGCATGCTAAACACAGTACCTAAACCCCAAAAGTATGTGAAAGAATGGCCTTTATGGCTATTATTGGGGGTTTAGGGCTATTATTTTACATACTTTTGGGGTTTAGGTATCGGCTTCCATTCTCTTTCCCACTCCTTCAACTTCATTCCATATTAGCCACTTGAACCCTAAACCCCTAAGCACTGCAGTACTTAGTTTTCAACGCTTGCATCGTCCCTCAGTCCTGACGAACCCCGGGCATCAGGAAGCCTAATTACGCATTAGAAAAACCCTACACCCTAAATGATACTGGCCCAAAAATGGGGGGACCCCAATATAGACCCCATTATACTATAATCCTTACTTCAAGGACCCCAAACTGGTACACCATTATACTATAATCCTTGTTTTAAGGACCCCAAATTGGTACCCCTAATTTCGGGAAACTCACATATGGCCTCCGCCTCCATGACAGCCCGATCATCGCCCGCAAGGTTTAAATCCATATCTTTGGCAGCCTCCTGGTTTAGAGGTTAGGGACACACGGGTGATCATGGATGAGCTAGGTTTAAGGTTTAGAGTTCTTCAGGGCTTGGGGACTAATTAAGGGTTATAAGGATTAGTGAGGTCTGTTGGTTTAGGCTATAGGGCTTATAGTGCTTCAGAGGTTGAAGCTTCTGAGGGCTTAGGAGAAGTAGCCTGAAGCCATCGGGTTCAGGGTTGAAGGCCTAATCTGGGTTGCTGTTAAGGAACTCAAATTAAGTTGCTATATTGGGGGAAACCCTATTATCTACTATATATATATAACTTAATTTAAGTTCCTTAACAGCAACCCAGTAATGTTTCGGGTTGAGGTCCAGGGAAGCTCCACCCAAGATGTCTCGAAGATCTGGGTCGCATCATCACAGCGGCGATGTTCGGCACCCTCGCCGGGCCCAAAGTTGATGTTGTAGACTTACCCAGAGGGTCCAAGTACCCAATAATTAGGTACTTGGGTTTTGGGTAATAGTAATTATAGTACAGGTTTTGGGTAAGTATATGATTATTAGGTACTTGGACCCTTAGGGTTAGATCCTCAAGGAAGAATCAGACACAAACAGATTCTGTCCGAAAGAACTGCGCGAAGGAACTTTACTCCTGCTCACACTAGACAGTCTGTATGTACACTCACCCATCTTCTCAGGTTGGCCTGGAATGCCTATCATAACCATACCCTCCCCGAACAAACATGGAAGATGAAACGAGCCCTTAGTAGACTACTGTTCTTCAAAATACGAGTTATATGAGCTAGTCTACGCTCCTAGTATCCCCCTTTATAACCCCTATAATACTCCCCTGATGATCCCCTATATAATCCCCTTTAAGGAGTGTAGACTACGGCTGATATGGATCAGATGGGGCTGCATCTTAATTTCTGCGGAAAGTACCCCGTAACCCTTGCTGAATTACTGGGATTTGAACATATCCAGATAGCGGAAGGGCTTCTCGATTGCTTAGCACCTCGATTGCTTAGCACAAGGGCCTACCATGAGCCTGGACTTATGCAAGAACCCCTAAACAAATGCACCGTAGAGGGCCAACATAACAAGAACGTGGAATTCAATTTCGGTGTGCCATGCTAGGGGACACCCCTATATAGTATAGTAGTTTCGAAATTCTTTTCCATTCTGCCTATGTACCCCCAATATACTACAGTAGTTTCCATTTTCTTTTCCATTACATCAGTAACTGCTCAGCCTCCTCCAGTGCCACATTGAACCCTTCAACCGTCTCAAGCGCTGACCATCTACTTTCCACTTCCACCATTCAAGGCATTCGACTCCAGACCTTGTAGCTCTCCGGGATAGGCAGCGAATGCTGTATGCATTCATGCAGGTTTTGCTCTAGCGTTCCATGCAACGACTTGGGTGGGGCTTCTCCGTTTTGGGCAGCCCGAACCAATCTCTTGCCCGTAAGGATTTTCCGCAATGGCAGCGTGGTAAGAACTGTTAGGTGATGATGATGTTCTTGGCCTGGCGCGCACTGCATTTTTCAAATGCACATCTTGAATACTTATATCGTACTTTGCACCGTAAACTGTTAATTCATTGCAGACTGCAAGGAAGGGCCTACAGCTATAATTCAGTTCAAAGGATATATGCATATAGATGTAGATTCAGAATTGAAGTGGACTGCAACAAATTGGAGTGAAGTTTAAGGGCTGGAGGCTCCAAGACTGCCAGCAGACCTGACCAAAAACAGTAGACCCTATAGCCTCTAAGCCTATTCCTTGCACCCTTAAGCCCCGACAAGCTACACGCCCCACCCCAAAACTCCGAAACCGTTGAAACCTACAAGATTTACCTAAACACTAAACCCAAACATCCCCAACCTCTGAAGTCTTGAGCCCTAAATCCTCAACCCCCTCAACCCCCTCCCCTAAACCCGAAACAAAATCTCCAGCTCCTAAACCCTGCACCATCAACTCCTCAACACCTTACCCCTCAGCCCCTAACTTGCTAAACCCTAACTCCTCAACCCCTTAACCTTATTGGAAGCCGTCGACTGGAAAACCCTGGGTCTCAGTCCTGGCAAGTACTTTGGCCTGGCATAGCATGCCTTCAAAAAACGGTGTAGTGCTTACGGTTTAGAATGTACTGTGAGTGCTTCAAAACAAACCTACATAATGGTGAGGATAATTGCGGGGTACCCGTTATGATATTTACGCGAGGAATCTCGGACCACATTAGTGGGGAAAACTCAAACTTCTGCAATAGGGCCTGCTTAATTAGAGTAGGAGGTTGGGGCGAATTCTGCTTTGCCGTGCTTGTATACGGGTGTAGGGTTTCGGGTTTAGGGTTTGGAGGGTTGCTAGGGCTAGTACTGATAATTTTCAGCCGCTACATCGGGGTTTACCTTTGACTCAAACGACTGTCTGGCTTCAAGTTCCATATGCTGGCACCACACAGCTAACTCAAAGGTCTAAGTCATGAGGTTGTCTTGGGCTTAGGATTTATTGGGATTTGCGGAGGATTTGGCGTTGAGGCTTTCGTCTAGGATTCAGGCTCGAGTGTTTTGTTTGAATTTTAAGGGTTTAGGGCTTATAGGGTTTAGGGCTAGGAAACAGCTGATTGGGACTCGGATCCCTCGTGTTTTCGCATCGCAGTGGCCTTTTGTCTTGTACACCTTTTGTAAAGGCCTATCTGACCCCCACTTGGAGGGTCAGGGGAATCTAGTAAGTAGGCCTATAATCCATGTCGTAACCCTAGTTATTCCCATTCTGAGCCTACTTACTAAGTGCCCCTGACCCTCCAAAGCAACGTATGTAGAATAATGGCCTGTTGAGCTGTTTTCAAGGGTTTGGGCTATTACTCTACTTCCTTTTGGAGTCTAGGAAATCTCTAGGACTTAGGGTTCGGAGTTTAGGGCGTAGGGTTTCAAGAATTGCTCTGCCCACCTGCTTGCTCTTGCCCGGCATCTGTCCACCAACACGGCTTAGGGCTTGAGGTCTTCGCGTTGGGGTTCTTAACAAACACATTAATGCTCATGCCCTGGCAATCGGTAGCATTGCCACAATCACTCTGCAATCGTCTACACCCCCCCCTCACCAATTTTTGCAAGATACACAAGCACGTGGCTAGGCACAACTTTGGATAAACCCTTGAGATAAGGCACTGTTGGAATGATTTGCCATCCGATAACCACTATTTGGTTTGTGGCCAGGTCAGCAATAAATAGCTGGCCAAAGAAATTGAGCCAGATCCTCAAAATCCTTAACCCTTAACCATTCAACCTCTGTAGCCCCAAACCCCTATGCCGCCGCCATACCTTAATCCCTAGATCCTACATCCCAAAAGCCCTGAACTCCCCGAACACTATAACCGAAACATGCAAATGCAAAACTCCAAAACCCTCGGCCCTTACACCCGATAAGCGGTTCAGGGTTTAGGGGTTTAGGGTTTAGGGTTCAGGGTTAGGGGTTCAGGGTTTAGGGGTTTAGGGTATAGGGTTCAGGGTTAGGGGTTCAGGGGTTAGGGGTTTAG